GTACCAGAATCCCTGGTGTAATCCGTGGACTGGAATGAAGTTTGTGTAACTACCTTACTGCTCTTGACACTGCTGGAGCTGTTTGTGTTCAGACTAACTTGGATTTAGTACCTTGAAATGCTTCTTTGTCCATTTTCATATTAAGTAGATGAATTTCAAGTTTAACTGAGGCACCCACATTTCTGGCTGGAGGTCCAAGAACAGTGGCTGCAAAGTGATGCTTTTTGAATGTCGATGGATAAAAGTTAATGTTATCCCAAAATGTCCTCAGGGGTGATGTGAAATCTTGGGCATTTGTGGAGCTCTTGATGCTTCCCAAGTAGCTTTGGAAGGACTGGGAGCATAAGGATGCTAGAAGGATGTAGAGTCAGTTTGTGCTGAGAGAGGCTGTATCACCAAACTTTGCAGAAAACAGATTTTCTTGGTAGTATTTGGTAGGTGGAGTGGCCAGTAACTGTACAAGTTGTGCAGCCTCTCCAGCTGTTCATCCATGGGGCTGAGAGCTGTTGATGATCAGCTAAAAGCACCAGGAACTTTCCCTTTTGCTTCTCAGCTTCACAACCAGCTCAGAGGTGGCCCTTGGACCGTGTGTTAGAAACCACAAGATCCCCATGACCTGGCGTGTTGCTCTCCCAGCGCGAGGGCATGACCTGCCTTCAGCCTGCAGAGGCTTGGATTTTCAACAGGCTGCATCCCTGCCTTGACTTTGTGTGAATGTCATCCCTTAAGTGCTATTTTTAGCGTGGCCTGTTCTTGAGTTTTGAAGATAATTGCACCCTGGGGAAAGCAAAATCAGAGCCAGCTGTTTCAAATGGGCATTCCGCAACCAACCTGCTGCTGCCAGTAGCCTCTCCTTTATAGTGTTTTTCCTAGGTTGTTTTCAAGAACTATTTAATTTTATGGGGTCTTGTTAATATTTATTGTTTTGTAACTAACTCATGGGACTGGGAGTTGGAAATCTGCACTCGGGTCATAAGTATGCTGACCTGTCCCTTTGTACTGAGACTGCCTTGTCTTTATGGCAGAGATGTGCCTATCCCTTGGGACAGTTACAAGAACAGATTCATTAACACCTGTGAGATTGTAATATAGTCACATAAATAATTTACTAAATAATGAGGGGGGTAGAGGATAAAGGGAAATAATAAAAAAGACTGCAGACTGTCAGTGTGGCTAAAAGGCTTTGCTTGTTATGGACAGTTTGACCAGTTCTATTCCAAACCCTTTCCATGGGAATAGATGATATTGATGAAAACAAATGGTGAGGTCTTAGGACTCCCAGAGCCAACCATTTGCTTGGCTACTCTGTGCACATAATTAAAGAGTAACCTTTTTATTTCTAGATTGGCTAATTATGGTGTGGAGGATAACACTATGCACAATTGGGGCTATCAGTGACAAAAATAGACTGATTTCTGTAGACATTAACTTCTAATGCCATAAATGCTTGTATTTTAGTGGAATTTTCACATACTGAGCATCTGCACAACTGCTGAAATAATGTTAATTAGGAGTAGAGAAGTAAATTATATTCCCTATCTGCCATTGCTCTTGAACAGTCAGTCATAAATGTTTTAAAATACTTAATTGGAAGCCATTCCTCATGGATGTTACAAAGTGCTCTGTATTTGGTGACACTTTCCAGGTAATGGGTGGAAGTTCTGGCAGGGTCTGTAGCTGAGTACGAGTCAGGCTGTGCTGCACTTGACTGAAATGGAAGGATGAGACAGATCTGGGCTGGGAGCCCAAGTACCAGTTGGTTCAAAACACGTGGAACCTTTTAGTGTGAGTCACTGTGTCAGAGGGTTGCACTTGGTAATGCCTGATGGGCCTTTAATAGAGCCATGAGTGTGATACAGATGGCTGAACTGGATTGCTGCAGATCAGAATTCCCCTCACATGCTCCCCTTGTTCTTTTTGGATTCATGTGCAGGGGTCTTGCTTACACAGAACTCCAGATTCTCTAACCAAGTAATGAGGCTTTCTGCTGCTTGAATGTGTATCTGCTGTAGTTGTCAATGAACTTTTAGTTGTGAAGATCCCAGCATTTTCTTGTAGTGAGAGGGAGTGTCATAGGCCAGATGACCTCCTGAAGGTCATCCAGTGGGTTGGGGCTAGAGTGGAGCCTGAACAAATCTACTTGTCCTGCAGTCCCAACTCATTGCTATAAAAGGTGAAGCTTTATGTTTGAGATGAAGGGCAGAGTCAGGCTGATGCCCTCCCAGGGCATACAGCACTTCCAGCTTCATTCCTGTGCCTCAGCTTAGGCCAGTGGCTGGTGTAGGACCTGAATGCCAAAACTTTACCAGTATCCTGCAGTTCTCCTGAAAGATGATAAATTATCCCTACTGTTCTAGAAGGCTGGCGTGACAAACTGCTGGATGTGCCTCCAGGAATAAAGGTGGAGTGGAGAAAACAGGGAAGAGGCAGTTATGTGGGCAAAAGTGCTTAATGTGGTGATAAAGATCAGATGTGGCAGAGGATAACTGGTGTATAAACATACAAATGCATTAACTGTTAATTGCAGACAGAATCACTGAGTCTGTGTGTTTAGATTTTTGAAAGTGTTAAGAATAACACAAGGCAGAGTGGCAGCTGATTACATGCATGAAGAAGGAGACAGTGTTTCTTGATGCATTTGTCACCTGTGCAGGAAGAGGTCACTTCCCTAACACCCACTGCACATAGTTTCTTGCTACAATTTCTACAGAACCTGTGTGAGCTTCTGCAGATCACCCAGAGCTACAGCTCAGCTGTCCTGGCAGCAGAGCTCTCATGTGCATTGAAGCTGGACACCTTTTTTTGAAGGGCGTTTGGAGGAGGGTTTTGTTCCACAACTGGGTGAGTCATTCGTGTCATAATTGTGGGGAGTTCGTTCATACTCATTTTTGACAGGTTTAGGCAGGAGTTGGCATACAAAAGTGCATATATGGAAAAGCAAAGTATTGTCAGTGGTGTGTGTAGGGTTTACAAGCTGAAAAGGAGAATGCTGGTTCCACTCTGGCTCTGTGGGGTTTTGAGGAATGATGAGCTGCAGCCTTCCATACAGAAACACCAGAGCTCTGCCTCAGAACTGAACACCCATCCTGCTTGAAGCTCAGCAGGGTGCAGAAAAGATCTAAGGCTTTCCTGCATCACAGAAGGCTGCAGATCTTTTGTGTTGAGCAGAGCCCATCTATGCTGCATTCCATTATGGTGTTTATCTGCTTGGCAAAAAGGTTTTTCTTCTCCCCTCTTTCTTATTTCCATAATAAACATTATATCCTAGCCAAGCCTCACCTGTAAATTCAGAGGGTGGTTTTATTTTCAGTGATTTCTCTGAGTTGGAAGGGTGGCTAAGGGCTCTCTGTGTTGTGACCTCAGCTACAAAAAGCCTAAAATTTTAATTCTACATTAAAGATTCAAACTGAAATGTTAATCGGCTTCAGAAAGACTATTTTTAGAGCTGCAGCCTTGGATTCCAGTTGAGTACTTGCAATTTCCTGTGTGATGAGGAAGGTGAGAGATTTTTTTATCTTTCTGTGCATGTCAGCATGTTTGCTGCTGGCTTTGCCAGGTGCATTCTGCAGTTTAAACTGTCCTGAAAGGAACTGCATGTCTTTATTTTACTTGGGTTTTCCTAAGAATGTCTGTCCCCTGTCCCTTGCTTTTGTATTGTAGTAAACAGTCTGATCTTCAGAGGTGTTTATATTCTGCATGGAAGTTTGGCCTGAAGTTGCCAGGCAAAATGCAGGGGGTAGTTTGACAAGTCAGGATATTTTTCAGAAAGGGCTTCTTCCTGAAGAGCTTTAAAAATACTTGTTTGTGGCCAGTGAAGTCAGGAGAGTTTCTGTGCAGCAGCCCACTGGGGTGTAACACTCCTACTGCACTTCTGACTGCTAGTCCAGTGTGCAAATATCTATCAAACCACTTCAGAAGTTGGGAGCTTCCAAAGCAGAAATTGCTTCTGAGTGAGCTTAGAATCTGCCAAGGCAGTTAGCAGAGTCTCACTAATAGCTTCCCATAGTATTAACTCATTGCAGATGTGGATTTATGATTACTTATGGTTTTACTAATTTAAATAAGGATTATTACTTTTTTTTGAACTTCTGCTTCATAAGTAGAATTAAGTTGTCCAGAGAGGCTCTGGAACCTCCATCCTTGGAGATACTCAAAACTTGGCTGGGTGTGGCCTTGAGCAACCTAAACCTGCTGTGAGCAGGAAGTTGGACTAGGTGACCCTGGATTTGTCTTCCAGCCCACATGATTCTGTGAATCAAAGCTGAACATCTGAATAATCCCTTACCTGCCTCTGTGGGGACTGGAGTCCTTGAAGAAACGTGTAGAACAAATTACTTAATTACTTCGTCTTCTCTCTGAAGATCTCCATGTCAGTTGGAAAAAGTAATGAATGAAGCATCTCTCCTTCTCCCATCAGGAAAGGACAGTAATAAAGAGTTAAGGAAATACTTGATTGTGCTCACAGTGACATGAAGGGAATAATCTGGTGCTAAAGTAAATGAGGATGTGCACTTTGTGGTGTGGTACCCATTGACCTGGAATGAATCTGTAGGGGCCACACTTCTGCCTCAACCCCACATTTCCCATAGATGTGGCCTTGGAGGACTGGGCCTGCAACTGGTGAATCAAGGAAAGGAAAATTGCCTTGTTAACCTCATTTTTCTGAGTAGAAAGGAAAAATTAACTAGTTAATTCTAGAGATGAAGTCTTTCACAGGTGTGCATGATGCAATCGGAATGCAAGTGTGTGCAACACTATCAGCTTCACTGCTTAATATCCAATTGCTTCCATGCTTGTGGATCAGAGTCATTAAAGGTTTGTGGGGTGCACTTGATGTTCTTACTATGCAGTCAGCATGTACTCTGAGGCAGCAAACAGCTTGGCAGAGGGCTGAGGGTGAGGCTAAGCCTGAACAGTCCTTGGTCTGGGTGCTAAAATCCTCTTTGGAGGAAAAATGGAAGTCAGGATCCTGGTCAGGTAACCAGGAGTATAAACCTGTCATGGACACAGGTGAGGTGTGAAAGGTAGAACAAGACTGGGTCTGGTAAATGCACAAACACCTATTTGTGCAGAGTGGGGTGGTAGCAAAGTCAGAGGATCCAGACACAATTCCAGGAAGTGAGAGGAAGGAGGGGCTGTTACCAGCAGTGATTGTTTCATTTAGTAATTAGTTCTTAAGTCAAATAGCACAGAGGATGTGAGCGGCTGAGAGCTGTTCCCTCCTCCCCTTCCCCACACATCCACACCCTTTTTTGCACATACTCTTTTCAACATGAAGACTGGATTGGTGTGAGATCAGATCATGAGGAGCTTGCTGACAACCTAGGGCAGGTGCTTGGGGGTGTTCAAGAGCGTGGGGTCTGTTCCCTTGGGTGAGTTGTTCCCCTGTGTTCTTCTTTTACCTTCCTTTCACCTGGTAGATGCATTTGAAGGATGAACTAAAGATTCTAGTATCTTGTGTGCCAAGTTTTTTCTAGAGTACAGTGTAGAGGAAAAGTCTGCAAGTCTCTGTACATTGGAGAAAAACCTCTAGTTAAATCATTGGTGAGTGGGAGTCTCCCCTCAAAGGAAAGTCAAAGGAAAGTCATGTACAGCTGGAACACAGAGCAGTATGGGCTGGACCTGCTGCTGCAACCCAAGTTATCTGGAAACAACTGGTTTGTTCTGTTCCTGTTTGGTGTTCATTGAGTGGCAGCTTTGTAAATGGCTTTGTGAGTAGGTGTTCATTTGCTCTCATCTCTCTGACCCAGAGACCTGGGTTAAGCAGAGGTGGTGTGTGCTGGAATAGAGACTATGGGTGTTCCAACACTGTCAGCAGTTAGAGAGGCACATGTTGCCAGGAGGCAGGATGTGACCTAGGCAACAGGTCCCCTCTTCTGAAAGGAGGGTTTAGCTGTGAGAGCAGGGGTTGTGTTTCTTGGTATCAGATGATATTTGTTCTTATTATCAAACACCAAGTCTGCTAACTATTGTCTTTGGGAGCACTGATGTCACACCTGCACAGTGGACCACATCCAGTACCAACAGACTTTTCTCCACCTCAGCTGAAGGTCTCTGGCAGATCAAAGTCATCACCTTCCTTGCCATGCTAGCTCGGGTTGGGTCTAGTTGTGAACATGTTATTTAGGGCCTTATCCTCCCTGGTCGCAAGCTGCTGTGTTTGTTAGTCCCTAAGGGATAGTGTGTATTCCAGAAGCAGACCATGGCAGGGCTCTCCCTCTGCCCTTACTTCTGTGTTCTTGTTTGCAATACAAAGTTGGCTTCAGTCTGAAGCATATGGCTGCAACCATTCATACTCCTTTCTTGCCTTCTCTCCATTGCTTCCCTTTCCTGAGCACTGAAAGGAGCTGCCTCTTCACTACAAATAATGATTTGTAAAACAGTGATATTTGAAATTAGTGGCTGCTGCTGTCTTTGATGTTCTTGGCACTGTTGATTGCTACCCAAAGCAAGCTGGGAATTACAGTCTGTCATTCTCTTGCCTCATAGCTCAGGGCTATATTTAGTAGTTCAAGTTGCAACAGATCTGGAAGTTGTTCCCTTTAGCTGCAGCAAAGGCTGATGCTGTGACAGGGTGCTTGGTTTGTCAGGGGTGATTTCAACCTGCTCATGTCCACTGTGAGGGCAGCTCAGCCAGTCTGTGCAGCACTGCAGGGGGATCCTCACTGCCTCTGCAGGGGTCAATTTTAGAGAGACCCCCAAGCCTGTTCTCTGGAGACAACCTCACCATCAGTCCATTTTTATGGCTTCACTTTTGCCTAAATCTTAAAGCTTGGTGCAGAATTTCTGAGTATTATTTCTGGGATGTAGTGAGTGGCATTTCCTTATGGGGCATGGGGGGAGATACTGTCATTTAAAACATGCAGCTGCCAAGGTAAAATTATTGCAGCATCTTGATTTGCTGATCCTGCAGTTGGATCTTTGCTGAGTTGAGTGAGTGTTCCCTCCAGGACTTTATGAAACACAAAAGATAATGGTTGAATTCAAGTCAGTCTTTTGGGGCTGGAGTTCCGTGCGAACATCAAAATCCTGCGTCTTCACAGAGAGGCTGCAGCTCCAGAATTACAGGTCTGAGAGCTTCATTGACTTGTCAAGCACTTTGAAAGCACTGAGGATCTGTTTGTTTCAATGGAGTTTACTCTTAATTGTCTCTTTAGAGTCTAGCTATAAATTACTAAAAACTATAAGGAAATCTGTTTCCTGTTGCCAAAAGGTGAAGGGAGGACAAATTCATAAGGAGTTAAATGAATATTTTTCAAATGTTTTTCTTTCCAGTAGTAGGTCAAGGATGAATTCTGCCTAATATTGTCCCACTAGCTATTAACAATGCAAACAAATGTGGAGAAAGAAGTGTTCTTTTCCTCTTTCAGAAATGGATTAAAATACACAAATATTAGTGGTGGTGTTGTTTATTCCTAATTTTCCAAAAGTAAGATGGAAAGAAACTCCTTGTCCATTTGCTTTCCTCTCTTCTTCTCTAACCAGTTTTTTTCCACCTTTAATATGACACTGGATCATGCCTAGTCAGTTGCTTTGTGGCTCTTGTGGTTTTTTTTACACAGCAACAGGAAGACAAAAACATAAATAAAGGAAAATGTGGTTGTGAAACCACAAGTTCTTACTGAATTTGACTAGACTTCGTGTTGGCTTTTTTAAAGCTCTGAGATGGTCAAAAACAAATTGTCCCTGTTCCCCTGTGTAGGGATTGGAGACCAGAAATCTATTTCTGCTACAGCTCTGCTGTTGGGCTTGGTGTGAACATACCACCAGATCTCCTCTCCACCCAAGTTTAGACAGTTCCCACTCTGGGTGTTTGCACAACACCTTGTTCAGAAGGTTCCCAGTTTTGGTTGGAGCCCTTAGGTAACAAAAAGAATGTCTTGAGTATTGACATGAACACGTAGCAGTAAAGAGAAGTGTCTCCCAGGAGGTAGCAGAGGTGCTCTCATGGTCTCAGATCTCATACAGCCTTGGTTGCTGTTTGACCCAAAGCCACAACTGCACCTCTGCGTGCAGCTCATGTCAGCTCATTCCCTGGCAGGAGGAAAAGGACCGTTTGGAAACCATCTTGGAGTGAAAGCAGGGAGGTACAGGGAGCAGGAGAGGCTTGTGGCATGAGTGTGAAGAGAGCTTGAGTTCATGGGGAAGGTCAAGATGTTTGTCTGATGTACAGGAGAGCAGGGTTCAGTATGAAGCTTTTAGGGACATGGTTTAGTTGGCGTGGTGGTGGTGGGTTGATGGTTGGACTCGATGATCTTAGAGGTCTTTTCCAACCTTATGATTCTATGACTGACCACAGCTCTGTCAGTGCTGTGGGGGAAGGTGCTGTGTCTGCACCTCTGCGTGCAGCTCATGTCAGCTCATTCCCTGGCAGGAGGAAAAGGACCGTTTGGAAACCATCTTGGAGTGAAAGCAGGGAGGTACAGGGAGCAGGAGAGGCTTGTGGCATGAGTGTGAAGAGAGCTTGAGTTCATGGGGAAGGTCAAGATGTTTGTCTGATGTACAGGAGAGCAGGGTTCAGTATGAAGCTTTTAGGGACATGGTTTAGTTGGCGTGGTGGTGGTGGGTTGATGGTTGGACTCGATGATCTTAGAGGTCTTTTCCAACCTTATGATTCTATGACTGACCACAGCTCTGTCAGTGCTGTGGGGGAAGGTGCTGTGTTTTGGCTCCAAATCCTGTCAAGGAAATTGAGGTAATAGTCCTTTCTTTGCCAACAGAGTGGCCTTAGCTTGTCAGCAGTGATCTCTGACACAGAGACTGCACAGCACAGTGGGATTTTAATCACCATCAGATCTTTAAAAATTGTGAGCTGGGAGACTCTAAAGTGGGAAAAAAGCTTTTTGGCTCACCAGTTTGGGATGGTTGTCTGGAAAGGTGCTATTCTAGCCTTTCTTTTTACTTGCTTCCTCTGTTCTGACAGTCACATATTCTTTAAACACACAAGACTTGTTGATGCCAACATTTTAGTAAAAATTTGTGTTTTTACTGGACCACTATCTCTTCTGATCTGATGTCATTTCAGACTCTTGATTTCCTTCCTGTTGTTTTGTTTGTTTGTTTTCCAGGGTGGTAAAGGAGGAGATTTCAGATGACAATGCAAAGCTGCCCTGCTTCAATGGAAGAGTGGTGTCCTGGGTATGTTGGCTCATCTGTCTGTCTGTGCATGGCATTTGATACAGTGGGCACAGGAAGCCAAGGTTTAGTTTTTCATGATATCTGTAACATCCTGTTATTCAGTAATCTGTTTGAAAAATTAGAGCAAAGTCCACAAAGATGTACAGGGCTGAAAAGGGAGTTTAAACATGAAACTTTTAATGCTTAGTAACATTTTGTGTCATCTTTTCTTTCCCGCTGTTGTCTCTCTGCCTACTTGCCTTCACAAAGAAGGGAAGATCCCCATGTGTTGTGCTCCACAGAGCAGTAAATTGGTTGCCAAAAGGAGTTTTCATTCTCTAGAAGAAAATCCCTGGCATTAGAGAATAAAATTAATGTTTAACCAACCAACCAACTGTGGTCTTTGAGACCTGATGGTCCACCTAGAGCACTGTGGGAGATGGCCCAGGGTTTGTTCCTAATGAGGTTGTTGGAACTGAACATCTGGTGGTGTTAACTTCTCCAATTCATGGCTGAACACACGTGCTGGTGGCCACTGCTGTGGTGTGAGGTCCTTACTCTTTGAGGGGCTGGAGCTGGCTGGAGGGCCTCCATGCTGCTGAACATGCTGCTTTCAGGATACGCTGGAGCTGTGCGTGCTGGTGGTGCTGTTACTGTCTTCAGTCCCAGGAACACTGTTGGCTACAGCGTGAGGTTCTGACAGTATAGGAAGAGATTGTACAAAAAGGGATTTCATGTGTGAGTAACAAGCTGAAGAGAGCATCCCCAAAGCTGCAGATACAAAAGGCTCTGAAGATGGCATTTGCGTTGCCATAGCGTGAGAGCAGTGTCTCTTTTAAAAGCAAAGGGATGGAAATGAATAGTGGCTCTTATCAGGAGAACAAATAAATCCTGAGAACCCTTTTCCTCCTCCTCAGTCTGTAATACACTGTATTTGCTCCTCAGTGTAATTTCTTCCATATTGCTGAACTGATAAATATTAATTGAAACACCAGGCTGATGTGCAGATGGCTTTCTGCATCCCTGGGCTGGATCTCCCCTTCCCAGTGCACTCAGGAGCGTGGCAGTGTTTATTTTTATCTATGCAAAAGAGTGTGTCATTTGCACTGCTGATTCAACACACCCACGATTCATTCTGATCTTGCACACACTATTCAGGAGCTTCTGTGCAGCAAAATGTGACTCAGGTTGTTCCAACCACGGCCAGTGTTCTTGGAGTTTAGGCACAAACAACCCCCCACCCCAAACGATTCCACATGAATAAGGATGCGGATTATTTAATCCCCCTTTGCATCCCAATCCTTTAACCTCTTCCTCCTTCCCTCTCCCAACCAAAAACCCAAGGGCTTTTGATGTCAAGTTGAGAGCTGAATTATTTTCCCAGCTTCATAAATAACATGAAAATATATGCCTTTTCTGTCTTCCAGCTGAAAAACAGAATATCAAGAACAGTAAGATCAGAATAAGAATATATGCAAGTACACAGACAAGTTAAATGCTGCATTTTAATTCTGTGGCTGTTGCTATTGTAATTTCAGAGAAATTTTACAGTTTCCAAAATGCATTTTAAGAATGCCTTCAATTTCTTGTGATTCCTGTCCCAGCATAGGTGACTGGCTGCTTTCTCACGTGGAAGAATGCTGAATCCTTGCTCCAAGGATTTGTACCTTGTTTCAGAACTTCCCACCAATTCCTGTATGTTACATGACAGTTTTCCTTGGAAGCTGCAGCCAGGATCAATGTCTCTGCTCCTTGCTATCTCCTTGTGCTGTGCACTGCACACATGCATGGGAGGGACATGGTTGCTGATCCAGAAACCTTAATCTTGTGTTTTCTTTGTATGTCACAAGTTTTTGATTTTTCCACATTATGGGTGGGAACTGAGTCACTTAAGTTTTTTATGTGGATTTTTTCTCTCCCTTCAAGGTCATGTAGGAAGTCTTCTGCAGCTGGCAGCAGATGTCTCATGGCCTGGTTACTTCATCTTAAAATCTTCCTTCTTGCCAGTTTTTTGAGTGTATGAGCAAGCTTAAGTTGAAGGTGGCTTCTTAAAAAATGTAACATTGTATTTTCTCCTTCTTGCAATGTGAACTATTCTGTGAATGGATTCACTGGTTTTTTCTGGAGCTTTTCTGACCCTTGCATTGTCTGCTTCAATGAAATTTCTCATCTACCTTTAATAGACCATATAAAGACAAACTTGGTTTTCCCATCTCAGAACACAATCCCTCCTTCACTTGCTGTATCATTTTTTTTAAGGAGAAAAATGAGTTCAATTTGCTTTTCTTCCTTGGGTGAAATAACATTAGTTCAGTGATAAACAGATCGTTTTTATTTTTAATTCCAGCCCAGGAGTTTAACACTTGAGAATCAGTTCAGTCTGAGTCAGTAGCCAAGTCTCTACTCATGAGAATGGTGTTTTTGCAAAGATCTTAAAAGCAAAATGTAGATGCATGGCTTAAAAGAATTGTTTCAGAGGTTTAGTAGAGCTGTTTCTTCCTTTCCCACCATCAGCTTGTTTCCAAATTTCTAGGCAGATCCTGCCAGTTTGGGTCCAGTTTATGGCTGCATTCTCAGGGCTCTGGTGCACCTTTTGCAGATGGTGTTGACAAGGGCTGCTCACTCTGCTGAACGATCAGCTGCAACATCTGCGTCTGACCTGCATTACAAATTGCAAATTACTTTTTCCACACTAACACCCATAGAATTGCAGTGCTTATCTGCCTCTATTTGCTGCTAATTACTGGAGGAGTTTTAGGTAAATCTTACTGTAAAGTTAATTGTTCACAGTTTTGAACCCTTTAATACCTTATTCACTGAACTTGACAGATAATTGCATATATATATTTCAGTGCTAGCAGAGTTGGTCTTTGCCTTTTGGAAGAACTCTCTTTTTGGGCTGGGCTGTTTCCTTTTCTGGATTTTAACATGCTGGGCCTGAGCTTTCTTTGTCTCCCATGTGTGTGCATCAGCTGGTAGCAGGCAGCTTGGGGTTCTTCCACAAAACCACCTGTCATGATTATGTTCCTCACTGTGCATCACTGGTACTGGGGGCTGTGTGTGTTTCACATCAAGATGACATCTTTAAAATGGGAACATTAGGAGCACAACAGTCTGGGTTCACTTTCTCTTCCTCCACACCTCTTCTCTTCACTGATGCAGTGGCTACTTTGAAGTTTCCATGATGACTGACATTTAGAAAGTTGAGATTTCAATCTTTTTTAATAATATTTGAATCCTTCTGTTTGTCCTAGGTGGGAACTTTGATCTTGGTGTCAAATGCAGGACTGATTTCCATAGGGGAAAGTGTTCTGGGGAGGATCTGCAAGTCTTTAGTTGTCACATAACTTTTTGCTACCCTGGGTGCTCTGGGTACAGCTAGATTAGAATCAAATTAGAATCACTGCTCCTAATTAACTATTTAAACTTCCTCCCCACCCCTCCCATGTCCTCTTTGTCTTTCTCCTCTGCATCTTAGATCTCCTCCTTTTGATTTTGGCTTGTTGTTGTTTTTTTCTTTTTAATTGGGTTTTGTTTTGAGGTTTTTTTAAGGACTAAATAATTTGGGAAAGAAGGTTGCCACTTACTAGATGCCTTTTCAGTGGTTGACATTTAGGTTTTTTTCAGCAATATAGAGAGTCACATGAATTGTGTGGCAGAGTTCATCTAGTAAATGCATTTACACAAACACATCTGCAGAAAGTAGCTGATACACGTGCATATTTTGCTAACATAAACACACTGATAAAACCTAGGATACAATTTTTCTCAGGGGATAATTTGGTTTTAAGTTTTCCAAGAGCTGCTCACCTGAGGGAAATTATTCCTGCATTTTTGGGTTTTTTTTCAGGTTCAGGTCCTTACTGGGCAATTTGGAAAAACAGCTTGTACAGAAGAGACTATGTTACCTTCAAGCTTTTTGCAAAAGCTTAAACTGGTTTTCTGTTCTCTTTGCGTGGTCCAGGGACAGGATCCCAGTGGAAGCTGGAAATGTGGAAAGAATTGGCTTCTGGTTGCTGCCAGATGGGAGCCAGCTGAGGGGCTGTGCCAGCAGTTTGCACAAAGTGGGCTGGCTGTTATCTGTGTTTTTTAGGAAGGCTTTGCAACATCTGGGAACAATTCCCTGCCTGGCTGCTGGGAATGTGCACCATTTCCTATTGGCTGGCAGTGATGTCACAGCCTCTGGGAGTCTGCCTCTTTTTTTTTCCTGTATTATCTGGGTGCCAACAGATAATACTTGTCCTGTTTGTGCATAAGCCTTTTAGACACCATGTTTGCAATTGCAATTAGAATTGTTGGGTAGAACCATTTAGTCTTCTACCCTACAAGGCAACCCAGGAGCTTCAGGATTGTTAATTGATCTTCATCAAAGTGCTTTGTTGCCTTTCAGCACAGAACTGATGCAGTGAATGAAAATCCACTAAGGCAGGGTTGGTTTTTTATTTCTTGTGTATCAAATTAGCTGATTTCAGGGCCTATTTCTTCATCTCACGGATTATATACACTCTCATTCATCTGCTGATAGACTGAATGATTACACAGGAGAAAAGAGAGAGCTGTGCATGAAATCTGACCCAAAGTGAAGAGGGTATTAACATGATATTGCAATGTAGAGCTTCTTCCATCACCTTCAGAGCTTGTAAAGAAGGCAGGTGGGATCAGGAAAAATATTCCTATGCTTTAAGGTACCTGACTAAGTTATTAGGGAAGGATTTGAGTCCTACTGTAGGAGAATGAATTCCTCTTAAGGAGCAGCTGAGGCTGGAGTGTGAGGATCTCTGTGGGAGAGAGAAGCAGCAAACAGGTTGCCATGAAGGATGGGGGACTTGGAGGAAAAATGAATGGACATGCTGAGTGAGGCAGCTTCAGAGCTCTATGATCTGATGATGATCTCTTTGCTAAAATAATGCTGGGTAGTTCTGGTCTGATATGCTCAGAAATTTTTGTATTGAAAGGTGCTGTCTTGTTTCTAACTGTGATCAGCATCAGGTGGAGCAAAGGCCTGTCAGGAAATCTTGCTCCCTTAGCCATGTGGTAGGAGAACTGGCTGTCATTTGCGGAGCATGGATGCACTCAACCTAGATCCCTGCATTGCTCTGATGTACACAGGGACCTGTTTTGAGCTGTTTAAGCTCTCAGAAAAGCAGTCAGCAACCTGCTGGAAAAATCTGGAAGTGGGAGACATGGAAATAGGATTATAGGAGTGCAGATCATTTTTTTTCTTTCGTGTTCTTACTCCACATGTTCTCCAAGAGACAGGTAATCAATCCTCTGCTTAGGGAGAACTTGCTGCAAAGTGACTGTTGGTGAAAATGAATTTGTTTCACAGCTTATGAGGAGGAACTTGCAGCTAGCACAGCAGAGCAGGGAGCAGCAGTTCTCTCTGCCCACACGTGAAGCCAAGGGATTTTGCTTCTGCTCAGCAGCACTACTGAGATGATCTGCCACCTCTGTCAATACATGGGTTTGCTTCATGATGGGCTCTGCAGGGCCCAGACTTCTTACTCCAGGAGCAGGGGAATACTAAAGAACAAACACCCGGAAATAGGGAAAGGGTTTGTCTTGTTGGCTCATCTCTCTTCTCACATCAAGCACATCTTTGAGACAGGTGTTGCCATCAGCAGAAATGCTTGAAGAAGAAACATGTTTTTGTGCTTTCAAAGAACTCAGGCCAGGTGCTTGCTTGTGTAGCTCCATACAACTGAGAATGTGAGGGTGAGTGGGATATAGAGATCTTGCCTACACCCAGTTTCTTTTTTTTTTTTTTTTCTCCCCTGCTTTTTACCCCTTATTTTGATTTTGTTAGTGAAAGGACTTGCACAGAGATTCCTCAGGGGATGAGCCAGGCTCAGAGAGATTCTTGCATCTCCATAATGCCAACATGCTTTCTAAACCTCTCCCATTAACTTCCCCACCTGAAAGAAAGAAACCTTAATTATCAAGTTATTAGTAAACCTCATGTTGTATTTTTCCCTTCAGTGTTTCCTCTGCTGCACTTGCTTTGGTGATAAGAGAGTTTGAATAATGCAGCTGACTCCATGTGGTGCTTGGAGAACTGTTTTGTCTTCAGGCAGTTCCTTTTTTGACAGCGTGTGTGTATTTGGCTTCTCTTATCCATGGTAAATGCTCTTAGGAGGAGTAAACTGCATCCTGAACACCCACCCTCTCATATCCTGTTTCCTCTTTTTCTCCATCCCCTTCTTTAATAGCTAGCATCTATCTCATTATTATATTAGAATTAGTCCTTGATAAATTAACCAGTTATACTTGGAATCTCTTATAGAGGGCTAGTTCTTCCACAGCTAAAGCCAGAGGGCAGCTGAGACCTTGTTGCCTCTTTGTGATATTTAATAATCTGTATTGTTATTTGAGCATTTATTTAAAGATCTTACATTGTTTGAAGAGACTCAGCAAAGTGATTAGATGTCTCAGGGGCTTGGTAATAGGATATAAACCTTTTAACCTTTATGTCACAAGGTCAAGTCTAACTTCTGTTGGCAGCAGCCAGAAGGTGGTGTGTGTGGTCAGTGGGCTCTTCACATTTCTGGCTCATTTTTACCTTCCTTTATAGCAAGAAAAGTATGGAACTAGATTAGGATGTGCAAAGTCTGAATTTGCTTTCAAGAGTGCTGTAAACCTCCTGATCAATCTCAGTCATGCAAAATCAGTAGCATCCTGCCTTTCTGGGTTAGGAAACTGAGGCACAGATGCTGATTTTCCTAGACTTACTCAATTGTTGGTAGAGAAAGGGACCACTCTGGTTCCTGGGTGTACACTTCAGCCAGGAGCTTTTTCCAGCACTAGTAAGACTTAAACCTTCCATGGCATGACTGGAAAATGACTTTTTCTATCAGCACCTCTGCCTTAAGGGGACAGTAAGAGATAAAATAGGCACACCTGAGACACAAGAGTGATGAACGTCAGGAATCTGGTCCTCCTCCTGAAGCGGAGATTTGGTGATGATGGCAGCAACTGTGAGATTTGGTGACAGATTGTGATTTTCTGGGGGGTCAAGGATCCTTGTATAAAAAGTTTACACCATGTTTGGGGTGTCCCACTGTCAGTTTTCAGCTTTTGCTTCTTATTTTTGTCATGGCAAAAGCACACTGAGCGTGCAGCCTCCCGGTGTGCGTGCAGTCTGCAAGGACTGCTGGCAGCCTGGGAAACTCTCTAAGGACAAGTCACAAGGAGAACTGCCCTCTCTGCCTGGTGTGCTAGTTTCTTCTGAGATGCGAAAACGTTCGTGGGGCTTGCAGGAATGTTGTGCATATCCCAGCTGATGATGTTTCCACGCTCAGATTGAATGTGACCCGATTGTAGGGAAGTTTGGCAGGGATCCACGCAAGCGGGCACTAAGCGCTGCCTTTCCTATGGCTTCCCTGGGATCTCTCAGAGTATTTAGCAAAGCTGTCTGAGTGGAGAGACCTGTGCAAGTGTCTAATTTTCTGTTTTCTGTTGGCAGCTGGTCCTGGCTGAAGGCTCCCACTCTGACACAGGCTCCCAGTGCACCGAGAGCCACACGGACCTTCCACCACCCATCGAGAGAACAGGCGGCATCGGCGACTCCCGCCCTCCGTCCTTCCAGTAAGAGCACATTGTCTCTTTTTTATATATATACATTTTAAACAAAAAAAAATAAAATGCAATTCCTCTCTGTTTCTTCCCCACACTTCTTCCTGCAAACCTGCTATTTGTTGTTAGAAAAAAGACTATACTTATGAGAACTGAGGAATTAAAGAGGGAGAGGGGAAGAAAAAACCCGTTATTGTTCCAATGAAATGTATATCCCATATATCTCGTTTTGAAACTCACTGTGGAAGAGTAAAGTAGAGAGGGAGCCCAAAATGCTTTTCATAGTGTATGGATGACAATCTTTTATTACTACAGTGTGTGTGATTATGTGGTGGGCAGAGCCAGCAGTGATATCAAGAGCAAAAATTTACGTGAGGACTAATGCCTCCTCCGTGTGCACCCAGGCTACCAGCTCGAGCTGGGTATGACCAGACTGGGAGTCATCTCAGTTAATAGTAGCCTTATTCCTTCCTGTTAGGTGTGCAGAGCCAATGTCTATCCTCTGAAAACCTTCATTTTCAGGGAGGCCCTCTGAATCTCCAGAGAGGATTTCAAACAGGACTTGGCTCTACCTGTGATCTTAGTGTGTTTGGAGAATGGAACGTGGTGTGGATTTGCTTGCTGTCGAGTGTTGCCAGTGCTTTCTGTGATACCTGGTGCCTGGAAGAGCCCCTGATGCTGTCTTTTACAGATAGATGTTTTCTAGAGAATACAAGAAATCTTAGGAAGCCCTAACCCGGCCCGGCTGTGTGTTTACCAAGGGCTTTAGTGCCCTCGTGTGTTCATAAATTGCTTTACGTTGGCTGGGAGAGGCCTGTCAGTGCAGTCACGTGGGTGCAAATAGAACTAGTTCTTTGTCTTCCTCACCTATACCTGTGTGTGATAGCTGCAAGGTCAAACTTCATTGAGAAACAATTCCTACATGGTGATGAGACACAAGTCTGTGTGTCTCCACTCACTGCGTGTACTCAGGTGGTGGGATCTAAGCTGAGCTCTGCTCGGGCACCTCCTGGCTGCCCTGGTGGGCTGCAGGTCCTCTCTGGGGCTTCTTGCCATCAGTCAGCACACTGCTGCGAGTGATGGCATCTTCCTTTGACAAAGCCAATGTGGGAATCCTTCAGAAAGTTCTCTTTCTTGGGGTGTTGGTGTGGTGATCCTGCAATAGTGTGTTCAGTGCCATTTCTGCACAGTCTCCTTGAATAGTATTTCCATTGAATGGGTCAGTAGTGCAACCCTGTAACTGTCACAACTCTAACTTCAGTTTTGCAGTATACTCACATCTCACCTCCCCTTCTGGAAGGGTGACTGACCTTCTTGGTTCCTAAATCCCTGAGATTTTGTTTTTAATGCTGTTCAGACTACCAGAGATCTGTCATCTCCTGTCTCCTTTTTCAGTGTCGATTGGGGCCTTATAATAAATATACAAAAAGCCCCATCTGAGCAAGGTGTTGTATAATTGTACAAACAGGAATGTTGCTGGACAGCAAAGAGCACAAGAAACAGATGAAGCAGCCAGGTCAGCAGGCAATCCCACCTGTCAGGGTTTAAACCCTTGAGCTGCCATTCGTATACAGCTCTGAGGTATGTGCACTGAAAATGGGTTTGAATTTAAATGGCCCAGCAATGAGAGAGGGAACAGGCCAAGTGTGAGGTTCCTTTTGCACCTTATTTCTTAGGTTGTAAACCAAATTTTGTGGGCGGGTTTAGCCTGGGAAGTGATGTGCAGATGGGCAGTGTCAGCAGTCACTAGATGGTGCTGCCGAGATGTTTGAGAGCCTCCGGGTGACCTGAGCAAACTGCCACCTCCTTCCCTTTTCAGTTGTACTGGGCTGAAACACGAAAGAGAAACATACTTGTGACAACAGTTCCAGACCCACTTGCCTTTTGGTAGCTTCATTAGCGCTTAAAATGTGCAGGCAAATGTTTTCTGGAATAACAACCCGGATTTCCTCATTGGTGGGCATGTCAGTACATTTCATGAAGGCAGAGAAAGTGTGTGGGTGTGTGGAAGGCTTTTCAGCAGTCCTCTTAAATGTAACACTATACAGATGTGCTCACACATGCACCAGCTCTGGGTCTGGCTTCAAAAGCCCCTGGGACCACTTGATTAGGTCATTGGTAGTTTAATTCCCACTGCTTTGTTTAGTCATGAAAGCCAGGCTGGTTTATATGAACAGAGAAATGACCCTTCCTCAGGGCTTGGAAATACAAAAGTGTGGAGTTGTCATTGCTGTTTGTTTAGATTCAACCAAAAAAGTGGCCATAAACTATAGAGATAAATTCGCTGCTGCTTCTTTGAAACCTTTTGCTCTGGCTAACTGTAGTAGCAAGAAGGTGGCTCTCAGTAGAGCCCTCACAACTGCAGACTGGAAGAAATCTGGGCACTCAGATCATCATCAAGGTCCCACACTTTTGGAAGAAATCTGGGCACTCAGATCATCATCAAAGTCCTTCTGCACTTTGCCTGAAGCTCACTTGCTCATAATGATCCTTCACTGGGACTTACTAGATAAATATTGTGCTGGCATATCTGTGTAGCTTTCAGGCCATTGAGAACATAAGGAAAGGACCTGGGGTCTGTGCATTTCACAGACACAGTTATTTTGAGCTTTGCTATGATTTGCAAGACTTCAACCTTCAAGGTCAGAGCTGGACATGGGAAGTGGCCACAGTGAGCTGAAGCTTCTGCCCCTTGGATGTCAGCATGTTGTGCACCTGGGTTGGGTTATTGTCAGGAAAACAGATCAGTTTGGGGTGAGCAAGGACTTAAGAAAGTGAGCTGAAACACCGGGTTTGGTTTTTAAAAAAATGATGCATTTATCAGGATATTGTAGAGAGCTGAAAAAGCTCAATTCACAGGCTTGAGAATAAGCCCCTGATGGAGGATGTCATCTGTTGGCATTACTGGAGGAGCTCATACATACGGTGTATGTCTTGGGTCTGTCATCTTCAGAATAAGCATGGGATGATTCAAGAGATGCACAGGAACTTGGGGTGTTTTGCAGGCTGAGATCAGCATCAGAGTCCATAAGGTTTTTTTTCTTCCAAAAACCAGTGTCATCTGCTTGCTCTTGTGGTTGGCAGTGCTGCTGCAAAGTTGTGATCTTAAAGCCCTCATGCTGGGACTGTGCTGAAAGCCAAAGTCCTTTGCAAGTGTGCTAGCAGCTAAAGCTGCCTTGGGTCATCCCAGTGCATGCTGAAATGATCCTTTTTCTTAGCCCATCAGGAGGCTTTTTTTTTCCCCTGTGGAAATGTTCATTCAACAGCCTCATGGCAGCTCGTTCAGTGCAGTCTGGGGCAGCTTGCAGTGCTACAGCAAGACTGCAGCTTGTCTGCAGGGTATTTAAAAAAAAAAAAAAAAGAAAAAAAAGAAGAGAGAGATGACTCCACTGTTTCTTCCTCTCTTCTAACAGCCCCAATGCTGCCAGCAGCCGTGCTACACCAAACTTGCAGCTTCTCCGCAGGGTATTTAAAAAAAAAAAAAGAAAAAAAAGAAGAGAGAGATGACTCCACTGTTTCTTCCTCTCTTCTAACAGCCCCAATGCTGCCAGCAGCCGGGATGGCCTGGACAATGAGACAGGAACAGAGTCAGTCATTAGTCACCGGCGAGACAGACACCGACGGAGAAACAGAGAAGGACATGAGGATGGTGAGTCCTGTTCTATTTCACCCCCTTTTCATTTAAAAAGCACAATTTTTCTGATCATCTTTCCACATAACAACTAGGTGTGCCTGACTGCAGGAGAGAAGTGTGTCTGCATTCCTGTGTGTTTCAGGGACTGTTATTATTTTAATTATTTTAATTTGATGATCGCTTTGAAGCTCAGCATTTTCTAAGGGGTTTGGACAACCTGCAGTCAAGTGGCAGGGGGGTTTTTTTTGATGATTTACAGAACTTTCTGTAGTATTAGAAAATGATTTGTTTGGAGAGGCATAATGACACCCAGTGCTGAGCTCCATACTGTCAAGGAGAGGTTGCCTCTGTTATTCAAGTTAGCTCATTGAAAAGGAGAACACACTGTTTGCTGCCTGGTGTTGGGAGCTTGCAGTGTAGACAATCTCAGAGTCTTTAGTATTTTAACATTGCAAGATGTGAGCCAAAATCCTCTGAAATAATTTCTGTTGATTTCTCTATGCTTGGATCAGCAGTAGTATTTTAAGCTGGTATAACTACAACACATGGGCTCTGAAGATCTTTTTTCTTTTTATACATAAGTGCACCCAAAGTACACACATGAACTACAGAACTTCATCTCTTGCCTCTAGTCTGTACATCAAAGTAAGCTTGATTTTTTTCATTTGTTGCCAGACAAGAATTTCCAGGCTTAGTGAAGAATTAATCAGTGCCACCCATTGAGTTTAAAATGGTCCAGAGTATGGAATACTTGGGCCCAAGAGATGCCATGACAGGCTTTATTGACAGCTCCACCCACTAAAGTATTTGCCTCCAGTTAGAAAACCAGAAGTCATATATATATTCTGTGGGTTAGAAGCAGGTGTCTTTCTTTTCATTTAGCCCTTCCAACTTGTAATTGACTCAGAGTGAATGAAAATTACACAGTGGGTGGAGCAGAGAGCTGTCTTTGCATGATCCTGACTGCAGATTCCTTTGGGAAATCACAGAAAGAGGCAGAATCTTCTAACAGTGTTTTGTTAGAAACTTGTTACAGGAAGAATGATAAAAGGTGATTTGTTTTTAACATTAGTTTAATTCCAATACATGTTTTGGCACAGACATGAGCTGGTAGCAGAAGAGCTGGTTGTTACACAGTTGGGTGTAAAATGGGGGAACAGCCATAGGAAAAGAGGGACAAGGGTGGAGGAAGGGCAGCAAGGTTGTGACACCTGGTTCACAGCTATTTCAAGGGCAGAAGCTGTGTGCTCTCTTGTCATTATGAAATAGTGGCAAATCCTCCTTTCCCTGAAGAAAGAAGGATAGACAGTTAAAGTGTTTGATCTTGTCCTGTAGAGACTTGTTTAAATAATACCCAAATTACAGCTCTAGTAGTTCACAAAGAGGCAGGAGGAGGGATCTTCATTGGCACACTGTGTTACTCATGGTTTGGTTCCTTAGGTGTTCCTCTGCAGAGTAGCCAAGACATGGGGACAGCACTGCCAGCTCACCAAGCTGTGCAATCTGTTGTAGCCTGTATTTCAAACAAGGTGAAGGGAGAAAAGGTGCTAAGGAGCAGCCTGATCTGCAGCAGGTTTCTTACATTTAGTTCTGATTGGAACTAAAGTGAGGGTACACTACCCACATTCTCTGGTGTATGATCATTAAAAATGTGGTACCAAAGGTGGATTGTTCACAAATCCTGGTCATTTTACTGTGTTCCTTTTCAGTAATTTTTAGTAGACCATTCTCTGCTCATGGTCCAGAATACAGCCCATGGTGTATATGCAGAGCACACCCTAATTCTCCTCCACAGATGCTCAGTAAAGCTGGGGAAATAATGAAGGATGAACAAGTAGAGATGTAATTTTTCTCCAGGGAATTGCCACAGTTAAGTTACCTGTATGCCTCTTGTGCTTTAAGCAGGTTATATTATTGCAAGAGTGCAAGTGGAAAGAAGTTTCACTCTGTTGTTGCTGTTGTGTTCTTACTGAGGTTAATAAAGTGAACAAGCTGAGCAAGATGAGCCCTGTCAGCTAAGCCTGGACAAAGTTACCTCCTGTCTGTGTACATATGTTTTTAAAGGTATAATAATAATTATATTGTGGAGGCTATATATGCTGAGAATTTATTATTAATTTTTGGAGAGGCTTTGTATCCAAAGAGGCTTTTGTATGAATTGGGGAATATGTCTTTTCCTGATCATCTTTCACACTAATTAGTAGCAAATCTGTCCCTGGCGTGAGCTCCATGTAAAATGAGTCTGAAAGAGTAGAGCTGTCAGTATGTCAGAGCTCCACTTTCCCTCGTAAAGCAGCAGAAGTCCTTGTTGCTTTGAGAAGTTGACAAAGTTCTATTAATTGAAAGTAGAGTGAGGATCTTAATTAGAAATGTGGGAGGTCTGCCTGGCACATGTTTGTGGGACCCCTTGCTGCCCAGAACAATGCTCCCACATCAGTTTGCCAAGGAGGAGTGGGAAAGGGGACTGTGGAAGCTCTAATTAAGGAGGTAATTAAGGGAAAAGTTTTCTTTGGCATTGGAGGACATTTTATAGCTACTGCTCTGTTTCTGACAAGTCTGCAGATGTCAAGTGTTGACACTAGTGTTTCAACACTGAGTTTGCTGTGGGGTGAACTTAACTATTGTGCAGCCAGCTGAAAAATGCTGGATAATGACCTGTGCTTTGAGAAGCTTTTACTGTGGGCACACTTGTGTTTGGGAAGAGGAGCTGTGGCAGATTTCCAGCCCTTGCTGCAGTACCACGTACTCTTCACCACAATGTGTGCCAAGGGATCCGAACAGAAAGGGCTGGGACTGCAAAACAAGCACAGTGGGAACTTCAACAGTACCCACTGAAAATGCAGTTCTCCTCAGCCATGGTTGCTCTTTCAAGACTGTCATGTATAAACAACGATGAGGGGGGGTGGTGAGCCCCTGAAATTTCCAAGTGACCAGGTGGCCACGCGTGGGACACTGGCAGCATAGGAGTGTGTGCCTTGGGAACAGGACCTTTGTGCCTGGCTGTGCTATGGTGATGTCTAGAAGCCTTTATCTGGTAGCACTGTGGAATGATTAAGGCTTTAAGGATTCCAAAGCACTTCAAACACAAGTCAAGGGATATAGCATGCAGATGGGTACAAGCATCAAGCAGGAGTGGACAAGGAATAGTGGTCATTCTTCTCCCTTTTACATAGCAGAGACTCTGAGCCCTGCATGCAGCAGTGGCTGCACAGATGGGGCTGCAAGTCGTTGTTAGAAAAGCAGTAATGTATGTCCTGTTAATAACTGACAAAGACTTTCTGCATTGGTGGGGACTGGAAACTCTGTTGTTTTGTCTTTTAACCAGGAGCTTGGCTATGACTTCTTCCTGAGACCCTTTCACCTCTGTTCTCTGCAGTGTCACAGAACCCTCTTTACAGCTTCCTTGAGCAGATGCTGCTCGACTCTGCTTTCAAGGCTTGTTTGATTTAGGACTTTGATATTCCTTGTCCCCCAGGCAGGGCCTACTCTGCTGCTGATAAAAGTCAAGGAGGACATTTTTTAACCTCCTAGGCTATGCTTTATTCTAATCTCTGTCACACATTAAAAGGCTTTTGTCAGACAGTCTCAATGAACTCTGTCATCCTCTAATGAAGAAACAGGAGCAGAGAGTCAGGCAGAAAGTCCCTGGTCATTAGTGGGACAGGCATTGAACCAGAGCAGAGAATGATTCTTGTTTAGACTAAAGACTTGGATACCTGGGAGTATTTTATGAATAAAATCCTTATAATCATGGTTTGTGGAAGCACTCACTCAATTACAGTTCCTGACCTCTACCCCAAAACAATGTTGGCTAAATTAGAACAATTCAGGAAAGGGAATTTGAATTAGCTAGAGAGATTACAAAAACTTTATGGATTGGAGTGCCCACCCTAATTACACAGGAAACCTGTGCTGTGAACTCAAGAATACCTGGTGCTGTTTGGGAGGTATAAAACATTGTTAAAGTAGAAGTGTATTTGCATACTGGTAAAGCCACTGTGATCTATTGTAGCAGTTTATGGGAGCTTTTCTATGACAGAAGATCTAGTTCAAACTGTGAATGTGTGAAGTTGAATCCATTTTTCCTGTTTAAAGTTTAGCTGAGAAGATAGAGCTGGAAAAGGGGGAAAAATGTAAACAGGAGGCACTGTTAGTGTGGTGAGCTCTTCTGATCTAGTATATACAAACCAGGGGTGTTTTAGTTGGAATATCTAGAGACACAGAAGTTGATCTCAACTATCAGGGCCTCTTCAGGTCTGCAAATGAGACTAAAAGCTCTTCTCTTTACCTCACATCTGTTCACTCATTCCAGTTCCAGCTGAATCCAGCTGTGCACTGACTTTTGGGGAAACAATTAAACAGTTTGCAGTGCTCAAAAACCAGTTCCCTTCCATTTTTGGTTTACACTGAATGATATGAGATGAAACCTAAATGGAAGGTTTAATTTATAGCAGTGTGTTTGCCACCGCCTTTAAAATGCGTCTTTGTATGATAAATATATTTATTATAGTAACATAATAGTATGTTTATATTTGATAAATAAGAGTTAAAGAGGAAAAGGGAGGGAAACTGCATTTAGGTACAGATTTTTCCTTTGTTGGGGTCTCTTTGTGTCTCTATAGTGGGATTGAGTTTGGTTGTGTGGCTCTGACCTGCAGAAAGTAACTGAAAAGCTGACACCATGTTTCAAAAGGCAAGGATTTAAGGTCCTTTTCCACTTCCCCCTGTGACACTTTGCTGTGTTTTGGCTGTTTGGAATGGGCTTATAAGTGCCAAAAAGCTTCAGCCAGTGTGGTTTTGGGATCTGAGTTCCAGGTGCAGTCCTGCTTGCAGGCAGCAAAATCTCATGTCAGATTGAGTCAGGGCAGCCAGACAAAATACATACATTGCTGCCATCATTCATCCAGCTCAGCCTGTCTGTCCCTTTCCCTTTCTTCCTACCTAATGCTTGTGAAGAATTCAAGGGCTGTGTAAATACCATATAAATCTGTGTCTTGTCATTAAAGTCATGTAAGATGCTGCCGTAATCTGATTTCCCTGGCAAGGCTTTACACGTGAGAAATGTGCTCTTTCCCCATTAGAAGATGGGAGGGGACAGAGTTGTTGCTTAATTATTCTTTCTGGTGGGTCTCCTGAACCTGCAAGACAACCCTAAACCACATGGTTTGTCTTCTGTGTTTTCTTTGTCTCCTGGAAACATGATCCCACGGCACTCCAGATCCCCTGTCAGGAGGGACTGTCCTTTTGATTGTTGTTTCAGGACAGCCTTGCTTCCACTCATTTGTCCCAGGTTATTCAAGGAGTAGCTGAAGCTTTCCCACCCCCTGAAGGCAGTGGCAGGGGAGGGTTTTAGGCAAGGGGTTCCCAGTCTGGATGGCAGAGCTCAGAGGTCGGTGGGAGAGCTGGGGTACTGTGGGAGGAAAGAAGATTGCTTCAACACTAGAGACTGTGAACTTTTCCAGGAGCAAAGGTACACTTTCTAAATGCTATTCCCTGCAAGGCTTTCAAATTGCATAGAGATTTGTTGGAAAGCAATGATTCGTTCATATCCACTATGATCCATAATACTAGGACAGTCTGTGAGTCAAACAAGAAAACCAAACCTGGATGGTGTGAGAGAACAGGTACTTTTTGAAGAGCTCGGGTCAAAATCTTGAAAAAATGTGGTAAATTTGTTTTAACTTTAGCATTTGAGGTGCTAATTGGGCATCTGTAGTAACACAGCATCTGCAGTAACACTCTCTCTTGGTAAAAACACTCACAGAAGTATATGGAATTTAATGATGATATGGAATTTAATGTGTGAACACACATAGAGATTTGAGTGAAAAAGTTCCTTCACCTCTATCTCCATAAAAGATAAATTTTATGTCAGAGTAAAAAACCCAAATATTTAGATCTGAGATATATTTCTGTAATACATTAAAATAAAATACTGTAAAAGAAGCTCCAAATAAGTATAATCTCTAGTAGCCTGACTATATTCTAAAAATTAATTACACAAACTCCAAAGGTCTATTTATGTGTGGTTTATTGGGATAAAGAGAGCTGTGCTGTGTTACAGGATCCCATTAAAAATGTGGCTGTGAAAGGATGTGGATTTTCAGAATTGATCTGTGAAAAAGAGTGACTTGTATCCAGCAGATGTGATTACAAAGTGTGTTGTGGAAGTGGCAAGAGCGACAAATGGCAAAGTCAATTTTTGTTCTATTTCCCCAGTCCTTCAAGATCCACTGCTTGCCAGATGTGCTGCCTCTTGGGCACAGGCTTCCTTGAGATTATGTCATGGAGGAAGAGCATGCAAAAATATATGTATTTTTCATGATCTTTGAGTCTTCAGGAGTTGAATTTTCCAGTGTCCCAGCAGGAACCCTGAACTGGCTTTTTTTCTCTCACACTATGCGTGAAAAATCACAACTTGTGGGAAGCTCCGTGTGCACCTGGATATGTTTGTTGGACTTGGACACAGTGATAGTCACAGTGCACGCTGGGGAGTTCCTTAAGTGGGCACAGTGTGGGCAGGGAAATGGCCACTGTCACGTTTCTGAAGTGTTTTGGTAGGAGCCAGCCACAGCAGGAGAGGCAGCAGGAGCTCCGCTCACAGCAGCGTTCCCCTCTGGGGCCCACTCCCAGTGGGAGATATTGTCCCAAGTGGTGTCACCACCTGATGAGGCCATGGGAACCAGCCCGATGCTATCCAGAGGCACAGCCCCGCGTGTATCACTGTAGGTATTAACATTCATTTCAACTCAAGTTTCTGAGCAGCCAGAGCCCTTATTTTTGTGGAGGGAAGCTGAGGTACTCGGCGAAAAAGGGCAGTGTGGCAGGACTTGGTTTTATACTGATGCTGAGGTTGAATTTTGTCTGATGCTGTGATTAATTTTCCAGATCTAGTGAAATATTTTGGACTCTAGGCTGTACTATATAAAGCCTTAAAATACTAATTTGTAGTGGAAGAAAAAGGGGAATTTTAATTGTTCAAGTCTGATGTTCTCTTTAGTTTTAAAAAACAGAACTCTGACTGTCTAAAGCCTTTTAATTTACAGAAAAGTGTTGTCTTCTCAGCTTTAGAACCCAGATGTCTTTTCCTTTCTTTTTTCCCCTGTTTTTGTAGTGGATGAAAGCAACTTTGAAATAAATTAATTTTCTTTTCTGCAACCCTGGTTGAGTAGCTGAGGTTGAATATTCAGGGACTTTGCAGAACAGACTACTTGACCTTGGCTCTCAGAGGTCAAAGTTGCCTGCCCCTGCTGAGGAGGAGAAACAATGCAGAATAGTCTTGACCTCCTCAGTAACTAAATCTGGTTGAGATATTCCCTGTAAACTGCTAGTGCCAGCTTAGAAGGAGTAAAATTTGGCCAACTTCTGTGTTTCTTTTTATTTGTATACATCTGGCACATGCAGGCATAATTGGTTGCTCCCTTAATTTTAGTTTAAAGGCAGAGGTAGGAGACTATTCAGGTGTGGATGTGGGGAATGGGGATTCCTGAAGGTACTTTACCATTCCTCATACATAAAGAAGCACTTTAATAATCAGTGTCTTTATATTAGGCTGTAGAGTTTGAAGAAATGGGTGAACACTCATTTATTCAGAGAGAACTGAAAGTTGAGGCCTTTAAAAGCTTTCTTGCCTCTATGTCTGTGAAGAGTTGCCAATCTGGAGTCTTGGGTTACTGGTGACAAGCTGATCAGTTGTTTTTCGGCGTGATCTAAGTGCTACCACCCGGTCCTGGGAGCACATTATGGTACTTGTGATGGCCACATTATGGGAGGAGAGGATTTCTATACTCTAGAATGTGGATCTTGAAAAGCTCTGGCAAATGCTGTTGTGTCTCCATTTTACAGATGGGGAAATGAAGAGGTAGAATGCCAGGAGAATGGGGCTCTGAAGGCAGAGCCTGACATTGAAACCTGATAAGCTTCATTTTTTAACACCACAGAGCCTTTGACTTTGAGGCAGTTCCTAGAGGACAGCAGTCAGTCCCTGACTCACCTAGTTTCAGAGGAGGATTCAAGGCTTGGTTAAATTGTCTCAGCTGCCCTCCAGCATCTGGCCAGATGAAAAACAAGTGACACTTCTGAGAAGGATGATGAAGGGATGCTGTGGTTCAGCTTCACTGCAAACCAAAGCTCGGTACTGTGGCGGGTGGAGGAGTTTTGGGTTTGCTCTATGACTTTAAAGATGAGGTCTTCTTGGGTAGCCAGTTTAAGTGTTTTCACAGCCATTTTGTGTGCCTGTAGATGTGCCTAGAAGCTGGGTGATCAAACAGGCTGTGAAAGTGACATAACAGGAGTATTTGTTACAGCCTTTTACTTCAATTCTTTCACTTTGCAGAAATGAATGGTTTAGATACATGTTTAAAAAACTGAGATGAGACCTTCTGTATGTTTGTTACCTTTTAATGGATCTCCTAAGCACCTCTAAGGACAAAAATATTTAGGCCCATGTTCCTCAGGCAGGAGGGCAACTCTTTTTTTTTTTTCTGTTTGTTTTTTTATTTCACTGCTGAGCAGTTTGCTACAGGAGGAGTAGAGGCTATCCATGAGGGATGTGACAGCCAGGTTTTTAGGGTGGCTCTTGCTTTTTCAAACCATGTTGCTCTGATAGTTAGCATGAATTGTCAATTAGCTTTCAATGTACACAGTATCAAGTGTAATTCCTACTGCAGACATTCCTCCTTTATGAAAGTTTTCTGCTCTGTGATGGAAGAGCAGATCCCTTCAACCTGGGAGGAAGTTGTGAGTTTGGAGAGTGTGTTTTAAAATACCAGTCTGTGTTTGAAACCTGTACGTTTATTTCTTGACCAGGTGCCTTATCAAGCTGAGCCTTTCCTGTTTCAGGGAAGGGGAAGTTTCTGGCAAAACAGAGAACTTAAAGATGATGGGTCTTCTGATGAGAGGTCCCTGAAGGGAAGCAGGCAGAGGAGTTTGCTTTGCAGAGAAAAATCCATAAAATATTCCTAGAAAAAGATGAATCACTGCTGCCTTCAAGTAAATGGCATTCTTGCTGAGGGGATTATCTGCAGGAATGTTTGTGTGTCTGACAACATTCACACAGCCAGAGATCAGTAAGAAATTGCTCTGAAGCATTTTATGCGTGTGGAATGGTCAAGACAGTGTGACTTTAATACAGCTGAACTGCCCAGACAAGGAGCTGTAGGTGTGGGGACAGGGACACATAGCACAGGTTGAGGGAAAGGTAGTTTTATGGGTGAGATATTAATATAATTCCTCCAGGTTTGTTGTTTAATGTTTTCTGTGCTGATAGCCCTGCACACAAAGATCAAATTGTGTTGGCTGCTGCTTTTCCAAGACCTTCATATGTACTTTCCTGTTAACATCAACTTCTCTTTTCTAATTGATGTTCTAATGCCATTACAGTACTTGTTCATGCCTGTCACTGCTGCCTTGGTCTGTTTCTGGCTTGCCATGAACTGAGCCATGGACAAATGGAAAAGTCAGGAAAAGGCAGGTTGGTAGGTGGGCCAGCCTGACCTTCCCACTGCTGAATGAGGTTCTGCAGGGGGCTTAGTTTTGGCACAAGGACCCTCCTGCAGAGCTGTCTGCAGCTCTCAATGTCAACGTCGTGCTACTCACAGTGCCACTTCCTCCTTCCTCTTCCTCTTGCCTGGTAACCCTTCATTTCTTGTGTGTTCCCAGTCCCTCGGATCAATGGGCACCCGAAGCTGGACAGGCACCGTGAGCACCCTCCTGGCTATGACAGCTCCTCCACCATGCTGAGCAGTGAGCTGGAGTCCAGCAGCTTCATTGACTCTGATGATGATGACAACACAAGCAGGTAGGGGGGCATCAGCACAGCAACTGAGCTCTTCAGTGCTCTTTGCATCTGTTCCACTTGACTGCATTTCTGGGCTTCCCTGAAACATCCTTGTTGGCAAGATGAGAAGATTTAGATCTTCTCTTTTTTTTCCTTTTTAAAAAAAAATTTCCTTTATTTCCTTTTTGTTTCCTGCTACATACCACTTGAGCACTGATAATTCTTCAGTAACATCATGCTGGGAGTAATCACTGCTCTGAGAAACAAGTGAAATTATTGGAGTTGCCATCCAAGCTGCTTGTAGCCACTCTTCCAACTCAGAAAAATCCTGGTTATGTTCTTTCCTTTTAATAGCAAGAATTATCACATTTTAAGTTCAAAGCAATGTGCAACTGTCTGCCTATTTATAAAGAAACAGTGTGAATATTGTAACAGAATACCTTCAGCATACATTCCTAATAAGTATGGACTTCACTAAAGCTCAATTGTAAAGGAATTCCTGTGTAATTGCATAGTCTGAGAGCTATGAGCAGTGCAGGAATTCATGAAGGTTAATGCTATTCCAAGGCAGGCTGTGATGCCATGGATTTATGACTTCTTAATTATTTTCTTTTTCATTTTGTGCAGAGAGAATGTGAATTATTCCTTGCTTTTTGCAAAAAAAACTCTGCATTTCAAGACATCCTTGTTCATCTCCAAACATATTTTGTTGCTATGTAAAAGGTTTATAAGCCAAATTGTTTATTGGGCTCAAGATACCTGTTTTTAAAGATGTAAAATCAATCAAAACTAATATTCTTTGCTTTCCTGACTGCAATGGCAGCATTCTCTGAACACTGTCTCTAGAGCTGTTTGTTGCTCATCCAGATGAGTTGTGAAAACCCATGGCAGATCTCTGGTGGGTCATAGACACCTGTGTCTGAAACAAATAAGATGCAACATGATATTCTGAAATTTTAGGTAAAGTGGAAACAGCAAAGAACAACTAGTCCTGGAGGTTCTTCAGCATTTGCTGTGTTTACAAACAGATTAACTAGCTTATTGAACTCAGTGGATCTGTTTGGTCTTGTAGTTCGGTCATGTCTTAAAAACCTGTTGAAGAACAGCAGTTCCTTCAAATTCTGTTTAAAGGCTGGGTGTTCCCAAAGGGTTGAAAGGGTAACTAAGTGAACATTTAAAATTTGGTCCTGAATTAGTTTCAAGAACTGATTTTGCATTTACAGTGAAGTTGCCAACACCTGAAGATACAGAAAATGAGCCTTCTGGATGCTTTGTACTTCACCTGAATGTTCATGTGCGTAAAGGGTTGGCACGACCAGTAGTTTACCTGAATGTACTCCAAGCCTTCCTGAAGCCTTTAGGGCTTCTAGCCCTCCTTCCCTCCCTAAAAAAAAAAAAATCAAGCCCACAACAACCCTGCAGCTGATTTTATTTCTGGTAAATATATTAATCATTTCCATAGCAGCAAGATATGCAGTAGGGCAGGATTAGCACAGTCAGGCTGGCCACTGAAGCACATTATATTAGACCCAGCTAAATCTGTGTTAATAAAGTAAAGCTTCCTGTGTCTGACCTGAGAAGAAAGAGACTCTTGGAAGCTGCTGTGCAGGACTTCTCCTTTCTAGGCTGAGGCAGGAGCTTTTGGCACACAGAAGAGCTGCCAGGCCAGCTAGTCAGGAAGAGCAACTAAAAGGAATGCTCCAAGGTATGCGGTTGTGTTCTGGGATGATGTTCTCCAGCAGATGAGAGATTGTGCTGGCAGGGAGAAGTTTTCTTGAGAGGCATATACAGCCCACTAAGAAGGTCGAACATGCTCCAGATCTGCTGGAGACAGAGGCCTGGGGAAACAGGGGCTGAAAGGGGTAAGTGTGTTTAACAACAGCTGGTGAACTCTGGTGTCAGAACCTGTGTTGTGAGGGAGATTGTACGTGGAGGACGTCGCTGAGAGAAGAAATCAGATGCAAAGGATGTCACTGTCTTGGGAGCTAAGAGGCTGTAAGATTGAGGATGCTTTTCTAACAGTTTCTATTTGACACTGGGTTTGTTTTCTTTTCAACTTGCAGCTGTGCAGCAGAGTTGTTTCATTTCCAGCCCGAGGAAGTTCGGTTGCATTTAGTTAGAGAGAAGAATAATTTTTGTTCAGTATATGAATTTGTTCACAAATATTACAGGACAGTAGAGAACCATTTATGTGAGTGCAATAATTGATTTCCTTTGCTTTTCAAGTGTGATGTAATTGAAGGTCAGTGTTGGTGGGATTTTTCAGGACAGATTGATGTAGAGAAATCATGGTAAACTTTACAGTAGCTGTCTTGCTTCTGTCTTTTGTTAAGCAAATAAAGGTCTAGCAGATGTGACACCTGTAGCTGTAGGATTATTCTCAGCAACTTGCAATTAGTGTTCTCAGTTCAATGTGACTAAAATTATGTTTATTTCTCATTTAAGAAATCAACATTAGTTCTTTCCCATCTATATGGGTAAGCTTTCTATAACAATTTTTTACCTTTTTTTCCTTTCTTTGGGTAATGTAGGTTGGACCAATTGTTTTTACTCTCTTAAAAAACTTCTTCTGTGGGATTTACTAGCCTTTTTGGTAGAAGTACAGTTGGGATTTTGGCCAGTAGCTAGTGCAGGAAGTTGGTCATTTTGATTGCAGGTATTTTTTATTTTTCCCGAAAGCTCAAATATACCATCTTGTTTTTCTCATCCAATTGTAATAATAACTTTTACTCATTTCTGAGGATACTTCAGAGATCTAAATATGACTTCTCATTAGAATACAGCTGGGCTGCTGTTTAGCATCCAGATACTCCTAGAAATTGTGCAGTATTTGTGTTGGATCTAGGTGGTCTTTAAGGTCCTTTCCAATCCCAGCCATTCTGTGATTCTATGAATGATTCAACAAGGATATATTAGGGCCAGGGATTTAAAAGAAATGCCAAGAAGAGGTGATGAAGTGCACCACAGCTGCATGAAAATAGATATTGACTTGACTTCTTTTTATGCAACTACAGAGACTGAAACCTCATGTTTACAAATCTGCTTCCACAGATTGTGGGAGTCTTGCTGAAGGAAGCTGTCCTGCCTTTGACTTACACACGGGCTAATTAAGGCAACTTAAGTCATTACCCAACTTCCCCCAAGAAGGGATGAAAAACTGGAGTTGAGCAAGCTCTCCATTTAGGGTCTTGCCAGAGTAATAAGTAGCATGTTCTAATGCTTATCTGTATGGAACAGATAGACACTGGAAGGTACTTCTAAGTTGCTTACTTCTTAGGATGCAAAATGCTATGAAATAGCACTAGATCACTGCCAAGACTGCTTGAGACAAAGACACTCAGGGAGTTGTCTGCTGAAACTCTGCTTTACCCATCCCTCATTTCCACAACTTGCTATTCAGATAAAACACCCAATGTCTGGAAGGGGGAGGAAGAACTTTGTTACTGGGTGAATTCCCATTGTGATCTCCTGCTGCAGGCACCTGAGGCTTTCAGGATAGGTTTTCTCTCCATTCTCTTTCTCTGCTATATGAAGATTCCTAATTTAAGATTGCTTTTTACAGTGGACAGTGATGGCTGGAGCCATTACCCCTTTTGGGGACAGAGTAATGGGAAACTGAAAAAATGAAATGATGTATATGTTCAATGAATTCTCTTTATCCACAGTAGCCATTGGGAGATGCCATTGTACAAAAGTTGGTGACAGGAAGTACTGCATGCTCCTTAAGTGTTGCACACTGGGATAAACCATAAAATATGTGTGTTGTAAAGGTCGAGCCTCAGAAAACCAGGTGCTGTGAGCTGTTTCCACAGATCAAATTTTTGATCTCTTCTGGAAATACCACCTCTTTTCTCTTGAAATGAATTTGCCTTACTGGGAGGGGAAAAAAGGAGTGTGTGAGGTTAACATGCCTGAAATAGTTTAGTGAACTCAAAGAGAATGTCAAGAGATTCACACCCTCAGAGCAGTTCCACCATCTGTAATGTTCAGCTCAGTGTGCTTGACTAAAACACACCAACTTTATGCAAGATGGGTTTCCCACTGTGGTGGGTTATAATCTCATGACAGCCAGCTCCTTTTTTGAAGTTGCTGGTATCAAGTTTTGCTTGAGGTATTCTGGCATTCCTCCATGTGGCTTGAACTTTGAAGACAGAGACCTGAAGCCTGGGGGAAAAAAGACTGGCACTGTTTTCTTTGTGACAGTGCCAGTTCAATTACTTGTGTTCTGTAGGGTTGTGGTTTGGGTTTTTTGGATTTTTTGTTTGTTGTTGTTTAGTTGGCTGGTTTTTGTTGTTTGTTTTTTTTAAATCTTGGTTAATGATGGAGCATTAATTTGTCATCTTTTTGGGGGGGCATTATTAGCATAATAAATAGGGGAGAGGTGTCCCTGGTATTACAGTGGTATCTCTGAAATCTAGGCTCTGTTCCAGGCTTCTGAAATGAATTTGGTCAAATCCATTTATGTCTTTCTGTGTCTCAGTCCACTATCTGTAAAATGAGAAGGATTAACATTCCCAACTCTCAGGGGAATGTTAAGGATTTATATGGAGAATGTAGCACATTTAGGTTCTGTAAGTTTGAAGAGCCTGAAAAAACCCCAACAGGGTATGTAAAGAGAAATCATATTCACTGTTCCTCTGCCACTATGTGGTAGTAGCTGTTACCAATTGCTACTGTATTTCATTGCATTCAAGCCCAGGTTCCTGTTAACAGCAAAAGGAAATAACAGCTCCATGACTCACAAAGATTATTATTAAGAGGTTCTCCAGGTTGTTCTCTCAGAGAAGAGGTTAAACTCCCTGGTTACTGTACAGCTGTTCTTCGCTGTGATGGGCCTGCAGTCAGAACCACCTTTAAAGTAGTGGAATGTAGCTACCTCTGACCTTGGGGTGATTAAATCAGGGGGATAGATGCCTGCTGAGAGGCACTCAGAATTGCTCCCAGAAGAAAGCAAGCCAGTGAATGACACTCTCTGATGCAAAGTGGAGTTTAGCTGGTGTCTCCCCTGTGCTCCTCGCAGAGGCTGAGGTGCCACATGCACTGGCACAGAGCAGCAGCTTGTGAGCCAGCTGATGGTGTCTGCGTGGTTTTACTCTCTCCTGCCTTTGAAGGAATCAGCCTTTTTTTTTTGGCAGGGGGTAGGGAAATGCCAATGGCTCAGCTTTACACATTTGCTCTCCATTTCCCTCAGGTTGAGTAGTTCCACCGAGCAAAGCACTTCATCCCGGCTCATACGGAAACATAAACGCAGGAGGAGGAAACAAAGGATGCGGCAGATTGACAGGGTAAGGTTGGCATCATCATTTCCCAGGGAGCTGAACTGTGAATCTTGAGTGCAGCGTGTAAGTTAGGGGTCCAGAACAGATCTGTGTTCTGTTGAATTCATTGGAAAGGCCCCCTTTGGCACCAGGCTACCCTGGTCTAAATCTCTTCGTGAAGTTCTGCAGGACCAGAGCCAAGACGTTTTTCTCCTCTCCCTTTCTCCTTTTACTGTTAAGTGATCACATTTCTTGTCTCTTCCAAGACCAGCCTTTGCAGGGTAACCTCTCTTATGCTGCTGACTGATCTGGGCAAGGGGTGTCTGGGAGTCACACATCTGATGGATAAATTGCTGATACTGCCATTCTGCTGAAGGGAGGAATCTGTGTGTATAGGAAACCACACATCTTTTCTCTTGCCCTTTTCTGTGCTAGTCCTCTGGTAGCAGAAGGAGGATTGTCCAAATGATGCACTTCTGAAAGTAACTGGTTTCTTCTATAAATATCAGTCCTCACAGGTTAAAGAATGAGTGTGCATACAATTTATCACAAGGACTGCTGTAGTGTTTTAGAAGATATTTGATAAGCTGTCTTCTTCCTGAAGGGTCACACGTTGTTCACCCCTCTCTTTAGGGAGGAGCTGTGGCTGTGCTAATTCACACTACACTGGGCACTTTAGTGTTTAAATGTCTGCTTGTCAGTCGTGTGATCAGGAAGCAGAAATGATTCAGTGTGAAGTTCAGTTGAGAAACCTCAATATTGGAGCTTATCTGAGTGTTTTGTAAATAAATCTTTTTATTGTCTTATTCTGAGCCATTTAAAACCTTGAGAATATTCTGTTGTGTTTTGCAGTCGTCTTCGTTCAGCAGCATCACTGATTCTACCATGTCCCTAAATATCATCACTGTCACACTCAACATGGGTAAGATGATAAGCAATGTTTTTGATGATGAATTTCAAGTGATACAGATGTATTTTGTCATGGTGTGGTAGTCTTTGGAGCCAGTAGAAACATTCCTTGATTAGAAAGGATGCCAGCTGATCTAAAGGGCTGAGCTGCTACTCTGCTGCCTGTGCCTGGAGTCTTAGTCTAGAACTGGATGGTTCTGAGCCATTTGCACAGCCAGATCAGTATTCTTCCTGGAAAAATCTGGGCAGGACCTGCAGCTCCAGGATCTGGAGTGTGCAGGACAGCCAGTTCAGCACCTCTCAGTAGCACCACATTCTTCCCACCTTTGACATGTGGAAAAACATTGCCTAATGCTGATCAGGTGCCTAATTTCTCGGTGTAGACATGTCTTTTCAATGCTCTTTTTCTTGCTGATTTTTTGAATGTAATTTCTCAATGTCTTGCATGCAAAAATCATGTCTTTAGCAACATTTCCCTGAAGGTGCCAGGCAGACAAACACCATTAGGGTGGCTGAGATGATTGTAAATCAAACATGGCCCAGCAGATGTGTCGAGAGATCTAATTTTTCAGGACTGAAGTCGCCTGCTGTTAGCTCTTCGCTGTCATTCCAATCACCTTGTTTGCTTTTTTTCCCCCCCACCCTCCACTTTCTATCTGTGTAGAAAAATATAACTTCCTGGGAATCAGCATTGTAGGACAGAGCAATGACCGGGGTGATGGTGGCATATACATTGGCTCTATTATGAAAGGAGGGGCTGTGGCAGCAGACGGCCGAATTGAACCAGGAGACATGCTTCTGCAGGTTGGTCCGTGTCCACAACTATGTGCTGCTGGCTTGTACCTTGGTGGCTCAGCTCAGTCATCCCACCAGATCCATGGGCTTAGTTCACAGAATTCATTCATACTCAGAGAAACCTGTCACAAAGACTATTGCCACTTAAATCTATTAATTCTTAGCAAACTCCGCGGGATACTTGATGTGCTCTGAGAAGCAATTTTTCTGCAGCTGCTGAAAGGAATGGAAACAGTTACAAGACAAATAAATTTGGGAAGAAATAATGAAAATGTCTTTCAGTTTCCTGTTGCAGAGCCTGACCTCTGTTTCTTGCTACGTTGCAGGTGAATGATGTCAATTTTGAGAACATGAGCAATGATGATGCAGTCCGGGTTTTACGGGAAATAGTCTCCAAACCAGGGTGAGCACATTCCCAGATCTTTTGCTGTTTATCCTCCATATGCAGGTATTGGGTAAACCTCAAAGAAATCAACATTTTGATCTCAATAAGCAGCCAGTGTGACTGATGATCTCAACTCTTAAGTTCCTCAGTGTAAATGATGAATAGGGGAGACTGGTGTCAATGTACCAGCCAAAACCAACACCAACCAGGAGCTGCCTGGTTTCAGTGGCACTGTTTGTTGATAGGATGAGTGTTTGAATGTCTCAAGAGCTGATCATTCAACAGATTTCACCAGTAGTGCCTATTTTCTGTGCAACACAAGAAACATCCTAATGCTGCTTCATGCTGAAAATACTTTGACACGCATCTTAAAAACATTCTCAGAATGAACTTGACAGCTGTTGGTTGGGGAGAAGTTTGGTTTAAAGAGTTCATTGTAGCAGTTAAAATTTCTGTAGGGCAAGTTAAGAGTCATCCTCACTTGTTTTCTTTCTTCCTAGACCTATCAGCTTAACAGTAGCCAAATGCTGGGACCCTACTCCCAGGAGTTATTTCACCATCCCCAGGGGTGAGTACATGTTTGTGCTCTGTGCTGGGTTCCTTTGAAGCCCTCAAGATTTAGAATATTTTCAGCTATTCTGGCATCTCACAGATTTCTCTTCCCTGCAAGTTTGATACCTTTAAGTTTGGTTGTATTTGTTTGCTTTTTGTTTTGGGAGGCAGGAGTTTAAGATAATCTTTCTGAGACTCCAGTGATTGATTCACATGGCTTTGGATCAAGCTCTTAACCTTTAGTGGGTGTAACCTTCCAACTGATAGAAAGTTTGCAGGATAACTATAGTCAAGTGTGATAAAGTCTCCTTTTGTCACATGTACACTTCTTAGAGTTGAAACTGAGGGTTTTTAAAATTTGAGGCAAACAGCATTGTTTAATATACATGAACACTCTGGGAAATTATCTAGTTTTAAAACGTCTGGCTGGTAGTGATTATAGATCTGTGCTTATGTGACAAACACAGCTGCCTCCTGCTGGTGAGTGTTCTGCTTATGGCATTAAACCAGGTTGTTAGCAGCCCTTCTAAGACACGAGGATGACCTTGGGCATTGAAATGAATGCAACAGGCTGGTGCAGAGCAGGGGAGTTCACTCAGGGAGGTCCTTAGGAAAACCAGCATAATGAAAAGAAAAATCCCACAAATCACAGATTTCAGATTTGCTGAAAACACTGAGAGGGAAATTCCATGATGCTTTGTCTCTGCAAATAGAGTTACTGTTCTGATTCACCTTCAGCAGAAGATTCACCTTCTGTCTCAGTTATGGTTTTCAATCCAAACCCCTTAGAAGTAGGGAGAGATCTTCGTGTCAGCTGTGACAAAGCATTGGGTGGTACTTCACATCAGAGCAAAGTGAGAATCTGTCTCACTGTATAGAACAGTAGTAAAATATGATTTCTGGACTGGTAGCTTCTTTCCCACAAGTGCAGTTAGAGGAACAGGAGTGTCCTGGTTGTTTCCCATGAGGCTGGTGCAGCAGTTGCTAGAGGAAACCAGCTCCTGCTGGCACGGTGCTGCTTGTTCCCCCCTGCTGGGGCTATCTCAGCTGTCCTATCAGAACTCTCCAGTGAGGGAGACTCCACAACCTCCCTGGGCAGTCTGTTCCAGTGCTCTGTCACTCTTACAGTAAAAAAATTTTTTCGGATATTCACCTTGAACTTCCTATGCTCCAATTTACACCCATTACCCCTTGTCCTATCACTGGTCATCACTGAGAAAAGCCTAACTCCGTCCCCCTGACACTCACCCCTTACATATTTGTAAACATTGATGAGGTCACCCCTCAGTCTCCTTTTCTCCAAGCTAAAGAGACCCAGCTCCCTCAGCCTTTCCTCATCAGGGAGATGTTCCACTCCCTTAATCATCTTCGTAGCTCTGTGCTGGACTCTTTCAAGCAGTTCCCTGTCCTTCTTGAACTGAGGGGCCCAGGCAGGGCCTTGTGCACCCCCAGAACATTTCTCCTTCCTCTAGGTGTTCACTGCAAACCTAACTCCATCTTGTCTTTCTCTCCCTTTCTGCTGGTCGTGCAGCTGAACCCGTGAGGCCGATCGACCCCGCGGCGTGGATCTCTCATACCACGGCCATGACGGGAGCGTTCCCCCGCTACGGTATGAGCCCCTCCATGAGCATCACCACATCTACCAGCTCCTCACTAACAAGCTCAATTCCCGATTCGGAAAGTAAGTCACACTGCGGCCAGCACAGGGCAGGCGCCTTCTGCTGGGGGCCGGCAGTGCAGGGCTGTGCACACCCCCGCCACAAGCAGCACCAGAACGACAGCCGGCTCACAGCTCCTCAGTGCTCCTAGACCCCTCGGTCTTGTGGGGAGCAGGAAGCACTTATTCCCAACGGCAGGAGTTAAGGCAGTGGTGTTTTGACAGGGTCCACATGCAGGAAGAGGTGGCTTCTGGTCCCTTTCAAAGTAACGAGGCAGGTCTCTCTGGATCTCCTCAGATGAATGTTGAGAGCTTCCTCCTTGCATTTGTCTGGGTTTGAATACATTGAAATCATTTACTAGAGAGAGATGTCACTGGATAATCATGTTAGTGTATCATTTAGGAAATCTTTAGGAAGACTGCTGTTGACATAGCCTTCTTTTGTTATTAAACAAGGACAAAAGCAAATGTAATGTCCCATGTGAAGTTAGAGTTGAGCCTTTTTTCCTGGGATGTCTGTGACAGTCTCCAAACTAGTCATAGCCATGTAAACAACAAGTTGTCATGGTTCCTTAGCTTGGAAATTTTTGGTTAAAGAATATAAACTCCTCCTTTCTTTTACTCTTCCTTTGCTTTCTGGTGCAAGCCTGGGTTAAAAGCTAGCATTTGGTTTTAAATACATGGCAGTAAGGCAAGACAAATAAACGAAGAGCATGTGTGTCTGAGAACACTGTCCACTGAAATCCTAGTTCAGGGAAGTGTTCATATTTAAAACAGCACTTCTGTTTACTTGACAGGAAAGTTTTGAGGTACTTTACACATCATTAGTACGAGTTTGTTTCCTGTAATAGTAATAATGGAAGAATTTCTCTGGAGATGCAACCTGTCTTATCAGATTTGTTCATTTGTAGCAAGGGGATTTATTGTATTTGTTTATATACACATAGAAATCTTGAAGTGGCTTTGGAGTTCTAAGGAGATTATCTCTTTTTTGGAACAATGCTACCCCAGCATGCATTCCTTGAAAGATAAATTCTTACATGTTTAACAAGGGATTCTGCCAGATCTGGAGTCTAAATTTGTGACTGAGTAACTTTCTTCAGTTTGGAAGGTTTTTCCAGAGATTAAGGGAGGATATCATTTGGGAAACACAACCAACAACATTAACTGAAAAACAAAACTTGGTAGATTTTAAGGACCAATGTGGTGTTGGTGATTAGTGACAGACTCTGCCCTGGACAAATGCATGGCTGAAGTAGGAGAGTTGCTTTTTCAGGGACCAGTTAAGTCCTACGTAGGTGCCTGCCTCTCTTTCCTCTCCCCTCCCTCAGACTCTATAAGTTCCTGGAATTACACCTTGCCTTGGACTGCAAGGGCAGTGACCCTTTTTGTAGGTGCAGTAGCTCAGTGCCTCTTCAGTTGGCAGGCAGCACCACTGTAGGGGAAGTACATCAGCAGTAGGAGGCAAGGGAACCACTTACCTGATTACTGCTTTATCTTGAGATGTGTTTTCAGCCTTACAGGTACTAAAGATTGCTGGACTCCAATGTATCTGCTGATTCCTGTCAAACAACTAGAGTCTGTTATCTGCATTCCCCTTGAATTATTCATGTATTGTGTGCCTTGCTATCCAGTGATGTGATTGGGAGGTGTGGAACACAGACACCCTCTCAATCATCCTGTTAAAATAAAGGTTATTTGGGAGCAGAACCATGTTTCTGGAGACAGCTTCTCATTTCTATGCCAGTGCCTTACAATGTTTCCTCTCCTGAATGCAGGAAAAGGCAGAGTACCCTGACCTTTCTTGTGGTCCTCTGCATAATTCTCCTTCCTTCAGTTCAGTCCTGCTACCCCCCTGAACACAATTCATAGTGATTATTGCTTTAAAAAGAATCTTCTTCTGGCTGATGCAGGAGAGTATTCCCTCACAGTGGTTTGTGAGTGTTGGACCTGCTGCTTCAGTCAGTGCAAACTGCTCCTAGTTTACTCTGCTAAAGGTAGAATTTTCCAGCCACTCCAGGACCCCTTTCCCCAGAGTAGTGCTGTCCCATTTCCTCAGATTAATGTCAAATGTTTCAATGTTTCTTTAAAGTCTTGCTGTTTCAAAATGCACTCCACTGACATTGTTGGAAAGTTCTCTTTTTCTCTTGCATGGACATCAGAGGATTTTGAAGTGAGACTTCATACTATTTCAGCTCAATAGGCAGCCTGAGGTACTGCGTAATTCCCTGGAGCCTTTGTGTTTGGACAAATGGGTACTTCCTTGCTCAAATCAGGATACAAGCCAGTGGTGCTATTCCATGTGGTAGGACTTCATTTTCCTGGAGCATACACCTCTTTTATTACCAGGATCTGCTAATGGGAAAAGATGCCACTCAAAACCAATAACCAAAGCCCTGAGAAGAAGCTTTGTGGTAACTCTGGCTCCTCAGGAAGGAGTTACTGTCTGTGCCATTCTTCACATTTCCACATATCTGTACAGGTGATCAGGTAGCCAGGCAACAGTTGACTGAGTTCAGACCAAGTGGGTGCATTTCAGATGCATCTGAGAATTTTTCTTACTTATAGAGCAACTGGCAGACTTAGAAAATACTGATGGTCATTTGGGCAGTGTTGTTCTTGACATGCAGATCACAGGTCTCCAAGAAAATGCAATTTCTTGCTCCCTGTGTACTTTACTTGAATATTGGTTGGTTGTTTTTTTTCTCCCCCAAACAAACACATTGCTTTTTGCCACTAACCAAACTAACTTAAAGCAAAAGCAGAATTTTAGTGTTTATACAAACTTTGTAAGTATTGCAACCGCATGCACAGATGGTCTGGGATATTGTCATGCATATTAGCAGTGCATGCATGGAAAGAAGCATTTTCAGTTGTCATTGTTACATGCTTGTTGTACCTTTTATCAAAATTTTGGATTGCTGGAAAAGGACAAAATTGGTTCCCTTGTGCTTTGGAAAGGTGGGTGAAATGGGAGAAAGGAGGGGAGGGGGTTCTGAATTC